CAAGGAAGTAAGCACAAGATGCCGAACACCCTTAGTAGGATGCAGTGCCCCCTTCATGCGACCCGCCGAATACCTCACGATGCTTCGCGGTTGGTGATGTGAGAGCCTGGTCCGGTGAGAACCCGGCGTGCTCAGTCGCGGCTTTGTAGGGATGACAGGTCAATGTACGGCACGCACGACTATGAGGGAGTATACCCCCCGCCCGTCACTGTACACCTGCACCAACTCCCCACGAGCGATGACGTGGCTGCGCTGTCTCGGGTGACCCGTGTGTTATTCTCCATTTTTTCGCCCGCTGTTTTATCGCTTTTTCCTTTTCTTTTTCTTTTTCTCTTTTAATTTTCCAGTCTATGGCTACCTCGCATGGCGTATAGAGGCGAGCGGAGAGTTGAAGACTATCTGTCGTTGTTTTCTGTTGACGTGCGGGCCCTCGGGTCCAGTTTATTTTGTATGCCTTTTTGGTATGTTAGCCTGTGACCACGGGAATCGACCGCATCAAGTGTTTTTGACTACATGGACAGCAGTACGGACAGAAGAAGGTACTGGGTAGAGAGAACGGAACGGTTTTTAATATGACAACAACAACAGCAGCAGCAACAACAACAACAACAAGCAAATCTCGCGCCGCCTGCGACACCGGCCTGTGAAACTTGTGTACGTAGTGACACGGTGACCCCATCGACAATTGTGTTGTCGATCGGCAAAAAGGGCTACGGCAAGCAAGCAGAGAGAAAAAATACAGAATAATGCTACATACAGTAGATCTGACATTTGGGCCTAAAAAGGTGAGGCTGGGTCAGCACGACTTCTGTATCAGCCCGGGCTTCGTGAAACAAATTGCCGTAACCGTAGTTTATAATAGTCATGGTTACAGTACATAGTCTATCATGTGCGTACGTACGCGCGAGTTATGGGGTCATGATTTTCGTTCAACCAGTCGGTGCTTCTTGGGAGAGACCAGGGCTCTTGGGTAGAACAGTTGTCTACATATTATCATGTTATATATATACTCACAGGATGGTCGTCGTGACGTGATACATTTCTTGTTATTAGTATGGAAAAAAATAAAAAAAAGACGGCTCGATTTTTATATTGGGAAATAGACACAACAAGTGGGTATACCCACCCCTTTCTCGGACTCAAGTGGGTACTCGAAAATCCAGCGCGCGCGCACTCCATAGGCGACCCCCAAACGACTCAAAACCCCATTCTGACACCTAGGCGACACAGCCAGGTACCATACACAGCACGGGCATCGTTCCCCCCCCACTTTTAGGCACACCTTTGGCCCTAATACCGCCGACGCGCGCAAGGCCTCACCAGAGTGCCCACTTATGTCCGACATCGCGGTGGGTATACCCACCGGCGTCAACGGATTTTTTCATGTACCCACTTGTGTCTGTATTTTGACCCACTTTTGTCCAAATTGTACCCACTTTTGTCCACTTACGGACGGCGGAAATCGAGCGGAAATCGACCTCCACGTCACCGCACGGCAGAACATCGAATAGCCTCGGAACGTCTCAGAACCTCCCAACACCGTATCCATGGTATATTTCCTATCCATGGCTGCCGACTGCGGACCGACCACGGAGGAACATGTCACAAACATGCCAGACCCCTTCGGTACCGGCACGGGAAGATACCAGGCACGGGAAGATACCCGCGGGAAGCTCTACTGTTGTTGCCGTGACGAGTCGGTGTGCACTCGCCGTGGTGGTTGGTGTTTTTGTGTGTGTGTTGTTGCTGTTTGCGCGTCTTTTTGTTCTGTATGCGCGACCCGTTGGTTGTGTTGTCCGTTGTGTGTCACGCATTTATTTGTGGCGTGCCGTTAGTGCGCTGCTTGCCGGGCTTGCCGCGGGTATCTTCCCGTGCCTGGTATCTTCCCGTGCCTGGTATCTTCCCGTGCCGGTACCGAAGGGGTCTGGCATGTTTGTGACATGTTCCTCCGTGGTCGGTCCGCAGTCGGCAGCCATGGATAGGAAATATGCCATGGATACGGTGTTGGGAGGTTCTGAGACGTTCCGAGGCTATTCGATGTTCTGCCGTGCGGTGACGTGGAGGTCGATTTCCGCTCGATTTCCGCCGTCCGTAAGTGGACAAAAGTGGGTACAATTTGGACAAAAGTGGGTCAAAATACAGACACAAGTGGGTACATGAAAAAATCCGTTGACGCCGGTGGGTATACCCACCGCGATGTCGGACATAAGTGGGCACTCTGGTAAGGCCTTGCGCGCGTCGGCGGTATTAGGGCCAAAGGTGTGCCTAAAAGTGGGGGGAAAACGATGCCCGTGCTGTGTATGGTCCCTGGCTGTGTCGCCCAGGTGTCAGAATGGGGTTTTGAGTCGTTTGGGGGTCGCCTATGGAGTGCGCGCGCGCTGGATTTTCGAGTACCCACTTGAGTCCGAGAAAGGGGTGGGTATACCCACTTGTGTCTATTTCCCTTTTATATTTCTACAGCAGTATGGACCAGACGCCGACTGTACATGAAAGTCGTACGAGTGCCGACTCAGTTATGCTGTCACAGCATCTTCCACGCACTTCTGCCAGTGCTGGTTTGTGGATTGGAGTCTTGTAGGTCGAGATACAGCAGCGGGGATTCTCGGGTTGTGGAGGCAAAAGTGTGAACCAGAGCAAAAAATTGCATGCATAGCTCGATTACTGCTGTGTTTTTGCAACAGCAGTATGGACTAGACGCCGAACGACGCAAGCGTACTACCGCAACGACCTAACTGGATGGGATACTTCCTACCATAGTACAGTGCGATGCAAACATCCGTTCGTGTGTCGTGTGGCTGCCACATGTGTCGACGACAGGTACACGTAGAACACTCGCCATGTTGTCGTTACCGCGCAGGAGGACCCCTCGGAGATCTTCCACATGGTGCTACAACGACAGCAGTACTAATGTACATAGATGTCGTAGGAGAGTGGAGTTGTGCTGTACGGCATCTGCCACGCACTCTCCTACCGGTGCTTGCGTCGATTGGAGTCTTGTAGGCCGAAATACAAGAGTGGGTTGGGTTCCCGGTTGTGGAAGCAATCCTGCCTGCAGCAACAGAGAAGGCGGTGTTCTATGTCCTACGGTATCCCGCTCAACTTTTTTTTTTTTTAGACATGTGGTTGCATATTTCCAGTTTGCCACTGCCGAAAAAGGCCGCTGGATCTTTACGCAGTCCATCTTTCGCATTTATCATTTTACACCGAACGACGCAGGACGGGTCGAACTTCATCATTGTTGTTGTTGTTGTGTCTTCACATTAAAAATCGTTCCGATCTCTCTCTACCCAGTATCTTCATATGTCCGTACTTGTTGGTGTTGTTGTTGTTGTCTTCACATACCGTTCCGATCTCTCTCTACCCAGTACCTTCGTATGTCCGTACTGATCCAACACTCGACGGGGTCGATTCCCGTGGTCACAGGTTAACTTGCCCTAAAAAGGTACACTCAAATAAACTGGTCCCGAGGGGTCCGCAAGTCAATAGAAATCAACGACAGATATACTTACTTGTGGATTATCTGTTGTAAATTGTGGGAATCCCTTCATTCCGAGAGAGGAGCCATAGGTCGGCATCCGGCCTTTTCCTTCTTGTATGCACTTTTCTTCTTGCTGTGAAGTTTTTTTGACGTTGCGCTTGCCATCGTCGCTTAAGGGCGCGGGGGGGATCGCAGTACTTCCTCTTCAAAAAAACAGGAAACGCCTGGAAACGCCTGCATATCTCGGTTTTCCAAAGTCTAACTCCAGTACGAAACTACCATCGTAAATTAACCGTCCGCAGCGGTCGCTTGTGTACAATGTTAGTAGCTGAGGTTGTACCTCTTGCGATACACTACAGACTAGCGGTCCGCGATTTTTCAAACGATCCTTCTATCATCGAGTGCGGTGAGCTACAAGCTAGATTTTTGAAGCTAGCTGCTGTGCGGTCCCATTTTGAAACGCTTCAAGCACACGGTGAACACGAATCACCGCCTATGTGAGTGTATGGGGCCGCGAACTTCAGCGCAGCTCTTCCCTCACATATCCAGCTGGTCGCCATTGTCGATTTGAATGCCTAGGGTCATG